AGGTTGTGTGCGTGTGTGTCTTCGTGTTCCGAATACATTCTGTTACCCATCCCAATTCAGCAACAGAAAAAGCTATGAAGCTCAAATGTTGAAGAGCTCTCTCGCTCTATGCGTGCTTCTCTCATTTCAAAAAACAATCTCAGCTCTTACATAGGAGCAAGTCTATTTCCGGCAGAAATGGAATTCAACTACCAGCCAAGCTAGGAATTTGAAATTTTACAATTTGAAATCTTAAATCCAGCTTCGCTGCAACTCTAGGTCTCGTGTAAAAGGACTGATTTCAGTTTTCGGCAACATTTACTCCAATCTAACTCTGCAGCCAAACTGGGCTGGAGCTGCAATTTTGCGAGAATATTTACCACGCATGTGTGATCCAGTAACTATGTGCTTCCACCTATGTATTTGCTTCGCACGGATTCGTTAATCAAGACGCAAAATCTTTATTGTGCTTCTTTTCCGGTAACCAGACAGGAAAAAGGAGCAAAGATTTTAAATGCACCCTACAGCATCTCGCGCGACACCAAAAGCATAAAATAGTAGAATGGAAGGACTGGTCTTGAGTGTCATATACCGAAGGACAATTTACTGTCTCGTAAATCTGTGTTTCATCCCTTAGCTGTATACACCGACCAAACTATGCATGCGAGTAGGAGCGGGAATCATCAGTACATCCTCCCACCCGCCATGTTTTGAACAGTCATTTAACTAATTGCAAGATGGAGGAGAGGAAGAAAGAAAGTTATAAATGAATTAGCAAAAAAGTGAGAGAGGAAGGAAAGAGAGGGAACCCTTTTGCACCGCTCGGTCCATATCAAGATCTGGATACGCTCCGTGATTTACGTCGAACAGGTAGTCTAAAGCTTTATTGTATGCATGACAATGCACCTGTCCTCTTGGCATAAACAGTGGAGTAAAAGGATTCGACTTAAGTATTGTATACAAAAAGGCATTTTACGATGCAACCTGTGTTTCATCCCTTAGCTGTAAATACAGACAGGACTATGCATGCAGGTAGGAGTGGGAATGGTAAACACAGACCGAAAAGCTCTAGGTCTAAAAAGCAAGCCCTTAATCCTGAGTAGGTGATGTTGAGTCGCAAGCTGAGTTAATAGATATTACTGGCGATTTCAGCAAAGATGGGCAGTTGACCATAAGGATATCATCGATATACCAAAAGAAATGAAGAGGAGTAGTAGGATTTTTACGAAGGATTACCTTCCGTTGGTACACCTTGTGTTTGCTTGAAAAAGTAACCACTAAATCGTACGTATGTTTCTTAAAGAATATATGCAGCGTTGCCTTGACTTCTTCCTTTGTATAAGATATGAAATCACCAGTGAATTCGAGGTAGTGACATGCCAGGACGCAGCAACGCATGTTTCCATGCTGCGGCAGGTTTGCCTATACAAAGGATGAGAAGGCGGTTTTACAATTTGAAAATTTGTTGCATTCGTAAGCAGCGCCTACGCATAGGCAAAAGCTCGTTTTGCTGTTGATGGCCCGGATATGAACAGCAAACACCTTCAGAAATGCAGCTTTCCGCTCAGGATAGCTGCTGAGTTAAGAGTGTGCCAACGTTGGCTGGACTAAACATTTACTTGCCTTAACGCTTGTCCTCGGCGTGTTTTAAGCAGAACCTCAAATATTTTAGTCGCACAATGGCGCATACTCGTAAAGTTTTAGCTTCACTGTGTAACTACAGAAAATCCACACTTTGCTTTCTTCTTCCATATTTGAGACCCAAAACGAATGTGAATGATAATATTAAAACAGGAGGATCGATGGGGTGAGTATATTTTTCAGAAGTTCTAGTTTTCTAGCTACTCTGGTCTTCGAGTTGAAAATGGTTGAAATAAAGTGAACAGACAGACACATGGGCACATAAATATGCTTTCACGCTCCACCTCTTGCCAATATGAGCTTCTGCATTTCACAAATGCCTTACGGATACAGAAGACCTGAGAGCGGCTTTTTTCAATGACACTCTCTCTCCGCGATGGTGTTGGAGACCGAGATTTCACGCTGTTGAAAAAAAAAACGCTCCTTCTCCCCTAGGTGCTGTAAAAGATCGATAGTTTTTTTTTTAACATGAGTGCAAATTTTCAACGTCGCACATTTGACACTGTAAACTACCTCGATTCTTTGGCCAAATTCAGGAAATTAAGTTTAGGTACTCGGCTTCGGAAAGCTAGATTTATGTTCAAACACCTCCCTTCTCGGCATTCCTCAGTATTTTGTTATGAGAAATGGAGGTATGCAGAAGTAGCCCATGTTCTATGCCACTGACGGCACCCACCATTTGGCAAGGTTGTTGATGGTTTT